ACACCACAGAACATCTAGAATCAAATTTTTTTCGGGGCCCTTAAGCGGGCCCCGAACCCCACGCCGTAAGGGCTTCGCGCTTTGCGCTTGCATCAGTTATGATCAAGGTATGTCCCCCCCCCCCCACTTTTGAGAAGCAATTGACGCCCCTGCTTGACGCCCCCCATGGAATGTTCCAGCCCCCCCCCCCCTCCCCACTGAAAAATTCCTGGCTACGCCACTGGGTACCAGTGGCGTAGACACTTATCCCGTTGTGATAATGCGTGGACACTTATCCCGTTGTGTGGAGCGGGATTGGAACTATGCTTTGCCCGTGCGTAACGGCGGGCCGTCTGGCATTGTCTGGTCGCATCGCGGTGTTTGCTCGGCGCGCGCCTGGACAGTGCGAAGGTCAGGGGGGGGGGGGTCGTAACTTTTTGGTTATGAGTGGTAAAAACCTGATTCAAAAATCATGTTGTTGTTTATTTAATGGGGATTCCTATGATATTAAGCATTTTGATAGGTTTTGAAAATATAATTTATAAAACATGCTAAAAGTAAATGATGTGAATCTTACAGAATAGAAACTCAAAATTTGGCCATTTAAATTGTTGTATCTCCAAAGGGCCAACACCTATGAGCCTGATTCAAACGCCATTGATTTTGTTGTGTAATTTGCTTTCAGTGATACAAAACTTGAGATTTCTTTCTTTAAAAAATAATATTCGGACTCCCTACAAGAGGAAACCCATTGCAAGCTGTACATTTGTAAGCCAGGCACTCCAAAACTCAGTGAATTCAACTAAAAAGATGTTAAAACTCCCAACATAATCTTAACCTTGTTTTAGTGATTTATGTTTTATTACGTGTTTTGATAGCTGGTCTCGGCCTCGGCCTTGGCCTCGGAGATGGTGGCCTCGGCCTTGGCCTTGGCCTCGAGGTTGTGGCCTCGGCCTCGGCCTTGGCCTCGGAGGTTGTGGCCTCGGCCTTGGCCTCGGCCTCGGAGGTTGTGGCCTCGACTACAACACTGAGATTGTGCACGTTAATGACACCCATGAAAAGACCTGGATAGGTGTACCGTGGCTGATCATTGTGCTGTGTCACATTCGTTATACTTTGATGTGCATTCATTTTGCTATTCAGCCACAAAAACATCCCGTGTTAACCCCAAATGGTACCGATCCCACGTTACCCCTACGACCCTGCCACCAGCTCCAACCCCTTCAACCCCAGCGAGTTAGTCCCCTTGCTCTGTAGTAGGGCGTACGGCAAGTTACCGTTGAAATAATACGAAATCTGTGTAGGAATTACGGTCACCGTCATTCTCATGGTACCCGTAATTGACCGTCATGTGAATAGTATTTCGCTGGTAACCCGTTTTAAACTGGAAAAAAAACCTTGAAGATGAAACAATGACAGCAAATTTAAGCTACTTTTTTGACCAGAAATTTGTTGTCATTTATTTTTTACTTGTAATTACGAAAACATGCGTTACACTTTTAGCAATAAAGCAGTGCGTGCAGCAATATTTATTGGAATTTGCTTCCTTTGGGAAAATAGGAACATCATCAACTTTGCAGAACTGTTGAACAGCCCCCCCCCCCCTTACTTCATAATATAACATTATTTATATTATGCATACAATGTTTCATCAATAACGATCAACATGTAAATGCATCCATATATCTTACCTTTAAACTGCTGTTTGCTGTCTTTATGCAAATCATTTGATAATCCAGTGAGACATTAAGACGAAACGCAAGAAGTAAAGCTCTTCTGATGCAAACTTGTAAACCGATTCTCCGCCTAGGCCCTACCCAGCTCGAGACAGATCACGCCACAGTGACTCATAGCACAGTCAGTGGTTTATTGATAACATTGTCTAGTTGAAGTGTTTACCACACTGCACAATGATCATTGTATTTGAACAGAACGCCTGGGCTCTACTTGACTTTTGAAACTTTGAGATTTCAGTCAACTTTGAACCTTCACACACATAAACCTATACTGCCCACCTGTGTCGTGTCTGGTCGTCTATTTTATTCACAGAGAAATATCTGAATAAGAAATCGCAGCTGCACCTATATAGTAGGCTAAATGATGCCAAGTGCGTATTCTCTCGAGATTTGTTTATGTCAACGAGCTCATCATGAGTTGATATCACGGAATTAAATAATATTTGGCAAGATGTCATTGATTTTGTAAGAATGGTCAGAATTGTCTTCAATGATTACAAGAGAAATACATGTTTTCATTATATAGTGTATACAAAGAGTATGATTGAAACTGAACACTGCTACCCTGCGAATATTACCGATGACGTTCAGCCAAACAAAAATCTAACTGTAGCGACTAGGCAACATACATGTATTATTAGTTCAATACAATTATACTTCTTTGTTTATTTGAGCTTCTTGGGGGCTGCGATTTTTTTTCTCGCAAAACGACATTCGCATGGGGTTTACGCTATGGCGTTTTAGACTCTACTTCTCTACAAAAAAATATGAGAAGAACATATAAAATTAGAAAGATCCTCCGAAGCTCCAGATTCGAAAAAAAAAATCGAGTACAAAACGGTGCCTTGATCGAACCAACAAACTCGTGATACAAAATCAGGACCCTACCAACTGAGCTATCGCACTACTCAACAATTCCTGGGGGAAAATAAAGATACCTGCGTACGTATCATAAAAGTATCGTAGAGGGCGCTAAACAACCATGTATAATGGATGTAGTTTGGGAAAAGAAAATTCGCATACGGGCCATCATTCTTCGCTTTTAATACAGACCATAAAAATAGCAGTGAAATTGAAACGAACTTTTGGTAGGTATGACAACTGCGATGGTTCCCAATGCAGTTTTTGATTTCACTGGTTGTGGGAAACTTTGTAATTTAATAATGAAATGTGATTGCCCCCCCCCCCCCCCGACATCTTTGGGAGAAATAAAACAATAATAAATAGAAAATATATTTGTAAAATATAATTGCAAATGTATGAATTAACCAAATGAATAAATATAAAAATAAAAAAAGAAAAGGAGGGCGGCAAAAAGGACACGAAGCTGTTTTGTTTGTATTATCCTTAACTGCATGGTGGAAAGATAAGTTTGCGGTTGCGCCATGTGAATGAATCTTTTTTGTGAGTGTGTGTGGTTCTGAAAAGAACCGGATGCGATGTTATAACGATGGATGCGGTGAGGCGTGTACAAGACCAGGGGTGGTGTACAAGATTCCATGTGAATGTGGCAAAGTGTACATCGGTAAGACTGGCAGGGACCTCCCCACCAGACTCAATGAACACAGTGCCCAAGGCAGGAAGGGAGACTTCGAGAAATCCTCCATCGTCCAACTCTCCCACACCGAGGACCACTAGATCAACTGGAACCAAGCAGAACCACTCACTAGCATCGACCGCTGGTACCCCCGACGCATCAGAGAAGCCATCGAGATCATCAAGCATAACACTGTTCCCCAAGTCATCGGTTTGTACATCAGCGACATTTGGCGCCCCATCTTCAAGTCCAAGTCCGATGGGTCTACTAAGGTTCAGTTCTCGCCTATGGGTCACCTATACCCTGAACTCCCTCACTATGTACTGACACGCTCCAGTGATCATCCAGCATCCCTCAGTAGACTTGCATCCTTCTCAGCTTCACAGGTTTCGAGCTTCACCAGTTCGCATATTTCTCACGCCTCACCGCATCCATCCTTATAACATCGCATCATCGTTGGAATCCCTCATTCTCCTGAGGCAGAGCATACAGTTCGAAACGTCGAGTCCCTCCGGTTCTTTTCAGAACCAAACACACTCACAAAAGAGATTATTCACATGGCGCCGCAAAGTTATCTTTTCTTAGCCTTAACTGCCTTTTCAGTTTGATGTATCAGGTCTCATACCTCAATTACAAAAATTGTAATATCAATTGTACACATAATAAGTGACTACACATTTATTTCTTACAATATACGAGCAAACCCTTACGTCGAGTGATATACTTTCGTCAACAAGGTAATTTTATTTGAACATGTTACCGTAAATATATGAACTAAATGCGTACCTTTTTACATCTTTGCTTGCATGATGTGAGTAGATTTTGCAGCCATTTCATATACATTTTTAAGAGCATTTGTTAATACATTATGATACATGTATACACATTATATTGAATTGGTGATAAAAAAACCTACAAGCTATGTTAGGGTAACTTTTTTTTACAGTTCCGGATAACGAAATTGATTTTATTATGTAGAAGAACAAATCAATGGGAAATAGGAAAAGACGTCATCATCGTGATCAGATGTAACTTGAATGCGACAATCGACATTATAGGCTATGCCATTAAACAAGTGATTAGGAAGGACAATCAAGGGCGGATCCAGGAATTAGGGCATGGGGGGGGTTATCGGCAAATAATTACTGAAATGCAGACTGTTTTTTTGTCCTTAACTGTGGCCTCCGTAAACTCACAAGGTGTGTGGTGGGGGGTGGGGGGGGGGGGGGCTCGAGCCATACTTTCAATGGGGGCGCTGTTCAAATCCGAACATTTTAAACACTATATTACAGAATAGTGTACAAATGCCCCATAATCAAACTGGCTCCGTTCGTATTTTGTGCACAGGTGGACATTATTACCAGTTTCCTTTTTGTTGCAGGTGTTAGAGCAGGGGGGAGGTTTGCATTATTTTTAATAAAGTTCTATGAAAAAAAAATGTCGAAGATGTTTCTTGAACCCCCTCCCCCACACCCTTGATCCACGCCTGATAATTCCCCCAATGTCCTAATTAATGAGTGCTTTCGAAATCCTTTTTCCCCAACTCTTCTCTGTGGCTCATGGTCTCTTAAAGCAGTCCGTCATTCATTAAAAAAAACTAAATCTATACTCCATTAAACTCACTGCCACACACCGTCAAGACACTTTCGTCCACTTCACCACCCGACTATTCATGTTGAATTAAATAAATTATAAATTTGTGTTTTGTTTATACCCCAAGTAGTTTTAGGCGGCATCTTCTGGTCTCCTGATGAAACCACAGCAGATTTCAAGCATGCCTCACTATTCAAACTCAACATCAGTTTCATGGACGAACACATAGTGCCCACTTCTTCGGTCTCCTTATGCCTCCTTACGTAGTTTCATAAAGCGAAGACCTTAACCTCACGTGCAAGATTGTACAGCAAGGAATGCGAGGACGGCAAAGGCTGGGATGCTTGACGCCCGGACACCCGTGGCACCAGACAACACCGCTTTAGGAGTTACCCCTGCAAATATGTAATGGCAACAGAATATGTTGCGTGTTAAGTTCATTGTTTAAGATGCTCAAAGAGGGGAAGCTGGCACTCCTGACGTGTTTCAAGCCCCCTTCCCTCCCAGGGCCATTGTGCTCAAGCAGTCGCTAAACCAACAAATCTACCCAAACTCTCAAATGATGTCACTTTCTAAAAGTCGGGGGGAAAGCAGACATGTTTTTTTCAGTAAGGTAAGTGGGACGATAATGTCATTTCAGTCGACTCTCGCTAACACAAACTCAGCCAGACCTAGCCAAAATTTGGTTAAATCAAACAGTATTCAGTGCAAGTGGCAGTCTCATTAACTGTGCACATTAATGCAAAGTCGGGACCAAGGCGTAATGTTTGCTATAACCAGATTGCTTTTTTTATTAACAGTGCATTGACAAGGGTAGACCTTTTTTTAAAGCAGAGTTTCAGAACCATAGAGAAACAACTTTCTCCCTGATTTTCCCGTAAATACGTGTAAATGCAAATGTTTGGCCAACTGTTTTTCCTAGTCTAAACAATGTGATCCGTGGACTGTTTCTATAATGCAGCAGTAAACCTAGCGTCACTATTTATAAAAACAAAAACAAACGTTTTATGCGTCAGATTCCGTAGCAAAACCTGTACATTTAAAACAACCACCTGTTTGGCTTACTTTGTGCAGCTGTAACCTTGGCAACCGTCGTTGTTGTCAATAGTGGCATAGATGGAGCATTTTCTAATAATAAGAATGAAAAGTCCAAAAAGGTTATCTTCAGTGATCGCAGCTGCACGTTTAGCTTGGCAACACACACTCAATATGTGACTTGTTGAGAGTTATTTATTCAGTATCATTCAACCCCCAAAAAAGAGCTTTCTAGATTTTGTTCGAGGCTTCACCAGCTTACTTGAAAGAGTAAAGTGTTTAGACTGTCAAAAATGGATCAGAATTACGATACCCAGGCCAGTGGCTAGGACATGAACATACAAATAAGCTGGACTATGATTATAGAGTACACTTATAACCCTTTCATGCCCACATTGTTTATTGACTAGGCTATCCCCAGGACCAAATTGTTTGCTCAGTCATGCGGAAATCACTAGAGCGTGAACAAAATGAGCACGAGTCAAAAACTAACTTTTTTTTCAACCCAGATTTTCATTACCAAGGAGTGATTAAAATCATCAACGTTGTGTGTAAAGTTTGTTCCTTGAACCTTACTCTTTTATGTGATGTAAACATGAAGTCCATACGTGCAAATATAAGGAAGTTATGCCTTTTTGTTCATCTGGTCTCAATTATCAAACTGCAAGCCATTTCACCACATGACCAAATGGCACTCCATACCCCCAATTGTGCGTGGATACTTCTGAAGCACTTTTCTCGTTTTTTTTTTATATGGTAACACTTTAAATAAACCACACCAATAGAAAGATCCGAAAACACTCTTTTAGCTGGTATATAGTTGATGTATGGGCAGCCAAACATATCAACATGCCGCCTTTCTGAAAAGTAGTGAATATATCTGTGTTGAGGGTGTTTTGTGTGTGGTTTCCTGGTCGACTAAAGTCGCCCATGGGAACCAGCAGGGGGCTACTTCTTGTCGACAAAAGTCGCCCATTACTACTTAACTCTGTCATCAAAATGCCTATTAATTAAGGAACAATTGCGGCAATGTGTCTTGCCCAAGGGCAGACACTCTCGCAGTGCTCAGCAATCAGAGACCTTTCCCAGCGTTTCACTTGGCGAAATCACACCTACTTGACCGCGAGGCTTTATGCATAATTAATGCTCAAATAACGGTTAATGGATTACGTATATCAATATAAACCTCAGGTGATGTATTACTGGTTCCCATGGTATTTTTTTCATGGTCATAATATTTTAACACGTCTCACTTCTTAAGTCCCTGTGAAATCCATTCTTGTTTTTAGCAGATATAAAACGCGACGGTTATAGAGGCCAAACATTTCGTTGGTCTACCCTTATATTGGACGTACGTCATGCATTAAGACATTTTGATACATTGTCCTCGACTATAATTGTATTCTAAGACACAGTGATCGCGGAGTTTGAAAGCTAAATTGGGGAAGGGGAAGTTGATCCATAATATATACTTGGCTACAGCTGGTAATTCTATGGTTCTATGAGAAGTTCCTTCCATCACAGCCGTAGCGGGATGATGCGGCCCCTTACTGTGTCGGTGACTGCTCTATGTTCCGACACCCCTATGTTCCAAAAACACCTATGTTCCGACACTCCTATATTGCGACTGCTCAACCTATGTTCCACAAAACTAATATTCCGACACACCTATGTTCCGATATCCCTATATTCCCACACCTCAGGTGCGTTGGGCCCAGAGAACAGCATGGTTACGCTTGCAGGTGTCAACCATAGATGTGTCATAACATTGGGGTTTTGGGACATAGGTTGAGCAGTCTGAATAAAGGGGTGTAGGAACATAGGATAGGGCGCTGGAACATACCACTTGGTCACTAGAGGACACGCTAAAAAAAAAAACGTTCGGTCAATTTCCAATTTGGAATTGTTAAAATTTAGATTTGTTAAAATGTTTTTTTTTTTATTCCATTGAACACAACAGATTGAGAAGCACTGTTTTCTGTTAGACATTATTTTCATTCATACACAGAGGGAGTGTATTGATTGAGGAATCACATATTGTACATTGTACACTACAAAAACTGTAGTGTTAATAATTTAACACCATTCGGTATCTATATAGGACAACACCAGTCAAGTTTAACACCAGATGGTCCTATTAAAGATACCAATGGTGTAAATTTAACACTGCAGTTTTTGCAGTGATGCCTGTCTTACTCTTACCGCTTGCCGTGTAAAACGCGAATGCCGTCAGGTCTCCGTTCCCGTACTGGTTTCGCCCATAGATCGTCATCTCGTAGGTCGTGTTGGGCCGGAGATCCCGGATGACGTAATCGTACGTTTGTTGACCCTCAACGGCCGGGACCACTTCCCTCAAAGGGTTGTCGTGCGTGTACACAACTCTTCGCAACGCACCGATTTTCTGCAAAAGAAAGCCATAATCGATAGGAGTTAGAGGGCAATGGTTCTGTATCACTGGGATAAGAATGATTGAACCTTTTGTTTGTTCATTTTAACTAAGTTAAAATAATGTTACCATGCAGCCCTTCATTCATTGATTGTGTGATTAATGTATTTCTTTATGCCTGTGGCCTTGCAAGAAGATAGAGGGTGCTGTTCTGGTGACCTCATTGACATATCAATTACAGTCAATGTGTGTTTAGAGAATAAGACAAAGGTCCCTAAAAAGTCTTCCCTTTTCATCTCACAGGAATGTAATTTCCTTGATCTGTTATAAAATAAGTATTCTTGATATTCTTCAGTTTATTTATTGGTTATTATTCAGTTTGTAGATGATTTGTATTTTAAGGATTACAATGGATTATTTGGGGAGTGAAAGATCATTTATCAGACCATGTGACACGGCAGCAGACTGTATGTTTTGCATACAGACAATGCATTTTTTTAGTGAAGGCACAATATGAATGAGTTGTTATATCTAGATGCACAGGGATATTCCAGGAGATTAAGTGTTACATGTATTTAGAAATTGTAGAAATTACAGAGATTTTGGGACTTATGAATGATTAATTAGCTAGCTTCTAATGATTTAATGTTTTAATGTAAATGTGCATTGTTAAAGACGTTGAGACAGTTTAGAGACCTTCGAGGAAAAGAGACAGAACACCATACATTCTATGTAGTATTTTGCAGATGGAGTGTACTGTTTTCCCACATGAGAATATTGACTTTAGGGAAACTGAGAACTGGATCTAATTCTAGAAGCTTTTCATATGGTAAAAGATCATTCATCTGTCTATAAAGACTGCATGCTTAATAACATTTTAGAATACATGAGGTGGATGTTTATAAAGTAATTGACTAGTGTATTGCAGTTTACTAAGAGTTGACACAAATGCAGTGTAGAAATCCTTTATTTCAATTTACAGTCATGACCAAGTGAGTAATTGTGCATTATAAGAACAGACATTAAGAATGTATGTATGTAGAACACTTATAGGCTATTGTAGGTCTAAAGTAATAATGTCTGTTGGGTCACGGAGAATAATCACTGCACATGTAAATATTCTTGTATTTCGTATTCATGCTATTTTATATTAGTTTCAGGCTATTTAGTTTATTGACACATCAATTACAATCAATATGTGTTTAGAGAATAAAACAAAGGTCCTTAAAAGTCTTCCTTTTTCATCTCACAGCTCCTTACCTGGTATCAATAACAAAGAACACGTAACCTTCAAGACACCTGCAATGTATGCCAATTGTTATAACGAGTGAGGGCGCTCCTACAAACTTTAGAAACGTCACGTTAATTCTACTGAAACTATATTTCGAAACTTTACTTCGATTTCAGACTGAATGAAACTTTGGAAAGAAGTACATGGCTTGTTTTTCATTTTCAAGTGTAGCATATATCACTTACTTGTATCCACCAGCCGCGAAACTGTATAACGTAGCTGCTGACAGCAATCTCTGGAGGGCGCCTTTCGTTCACAGGTTTCCCAGGTTCCCACGTCAAGGGGTATGCACGGCGCCTTCTCGACCGAGGTGCACTAGTCACTCTTGGCGGTAATGGACGCCCTATACAAATAAATATATAACTTGTTTTGAGGAATGGAAATTATTCTTGGACGAATGAGGGCGCTGTAACGACACGTGGCACTGTAACACTGCGACGTCGTACACTAACACACGTGCCAAAGTGGTGACACCAGATGGAGAAACGGAGGAATTTGAAATCATGGCAGGAGTTCTGCAAGGTGACACCCTTGCACCCTTCCTCTTCATTATTGTACTTGACTACGCCCTGCGTCAAGCCACGAGTGGACTAGAGAATGAACTTGGCTTCACAAACACACCAAGGAGGTCAAGGTAAATACCGGCTGTGACCCTGACAGACCTGGACTTTGCAGATAATAATGTACGCTAAGCGACAAGATCGAACAGGCACAGGTGCTGCTCACACTGGTGGAAAGAGAGTGCCGCAAAGTCGGGATATTCTGTAATGCCAAAAAGACAATTCCACAGGGCATGCCCCCTTACCGCAGAGGGAAGGGCTCTCGAGGAATGAACAGACTTGAAATATCTAGGCTCTTGGGTGAACTCCATTGAGGGTTATATCAAGACCAGGAAGGCCCTAGCCTGGACAACCCTCAACAAAATGAAAAGAATGTGGAACGCCAACATAACAAGACAGGTAAAGCTGAGCTTTTTCCTAGCCACAGTTTAATTGCTGCTGCTCTATGGGTGCGAAACATGGACTTTAACATCTTTCCTGAAGAAGTCACTCAACGGCACCCATACTCGTATGCTGAGAGCTGTACGCAACATCAACTGGAGAGAACATATTAATAACACTGATCTGTATGGGGAGCTCCCTATTAGGTTGAGAACAAAATTGCCTTCGGAAGGATGGAATTAGCAGGACATTGCCACCGTCATCCTGAGCTACCCACGAGCCAGTTAATACTCTGTGAGCCGACCCATAGGAAAAAAAGACACAGAGGCAGACAAAAGGCATCGTACATCAATGTACTGAAGAGGGACAGAGGTGTGGAAAAGACAAAATGAGCTAGATGCATGCATGAGGAATCGTGACGAATGGAGGATCCGTGCAAGGGCTCGGGTGTGGCCGATCGACTTAGTGAGTGAGTGAGTGTGTGTGTACTGTTGTCGAAATGGATGTGTCAGTCAGGAGAGTGAAAACAAAATGGTGTTTTTCGAGTTTTGGTAATAATATCTTCACGTGTATTTACGATTATTGATGCACGTAAGCCGAAACTTACATGTTAATTACTACCATTTTCAAATAGTTTTTTACGATCTTTAATTTGGATTGAAGTAAAGGTACTAACTGCTTTAATGAATGTGATTTTTCTAGCATTCTACGCAGAAGTAGCGTATTAATGAGGTTATGTGTCGCTTTGTGTGGAGGAGAGCCAGAAGGAACGATACAGAATGTTTATAGTGTCAATCGTTTGGTAAATAACATGGTTAATAGCCCAAGCGATTAATCATCGATCAGCGAATTTTTGAAATATGGCAGCAACTTTGTGATAAAGGTAACTTAGCACAGTCTTCCTTTGCTGTAAAAGGTAGTTTTGGTGAAGACTAGCCACCCTACCAAATGAACCCATTTATGTAATGGGTAAACCGTTGGTAGAGCGCAGGCATATGGTCACGGAAATCGCCAGACCAAGTTAAATTTGGGTGGGGATAGGGTGACAGCTAAATCATCAACTGACCACCCCCTGCCTGACAGTAGCTAGCAATAATAACCCGGTAACGCACGGGCCGAGGCAAACAGTCGGTTCCTTTCCTGATAATTTGACGGCTAAAACAAATAAGACAATGTCACAGTAATTACGAATTGCCCTAGATAATTATGCGGTGAATACTAACAGCCATGTAACCTGTTACTTTATTCACCTGGTTAAACTGACCACCTGCCAATGTCTGACGCTCTGTTTGGTTCGACGACAACACCGCATAATCGTAACTACACTAGAAGACTTTTGGTCACCTATGCTTTCATTTGAAATGTCATCTTTATCCATTTTGTCATAGACCCCTCTTTTTGGGGATAATTTAGATGGTCACCGTTTGAATATTTGCAATCATGTTTACTGCATGAAAAAAGTGGACACGTGCTTAAAATTCGGGCGGCTAAGGAAATATCGATATTATTACAAGGTGACTGCAAAACAAAATATTTTGAATCTTAAACTTTCGCTTTGTTCATCTGCTCGCTCAAAATTATTAATGGACATAGAGATTCGCATAAATTATTCATGAAAATATTACAGCAGAAGCTTTCTAATACAATTAATTCAATTTATTTCATTAGAAGTTGAACAGAGAAATTGAATGGAGTGAGTTTGAAAATGCGACCACCGGATTGTCCTATTTTGGGGGTTCTTCCCCCAATGCACATATACTCAGTTTCCCTTTGGGGTTTATTTGAAAGAAATTCAAGGTATACGGCTTAGATGAAACTTTTCTAAAATAATTTATATTTAAAGCAGTGAAAGTTTGCTTGATCATTTTACTGGTATAAACGTAATTAAGAAGCATACATTTTGCGGTTCCTCGGCTCATGAAACCATGGCCCATTTCTGTGAAGCTAATCATGAACAAATGTCGCGAGTTTAATATACTCAAATAATTATGAAAATAATTTTAAAAAAATATAAATAGCCCATTGACTGTTAGTAGTGAAATCTCGGTCCGCCACATAACCACTCCCATAACAATGGAATTGTAAACATATCTATCACAATTTAATGCAATCTTTACCTATTTATTAAATGTATTCATGTTTTAAATTATAAAAAGTATTTTGTGACTGAACACTTTTTATATTTAATTCTGTTGAGATAAAAAATTGTCTAATATGCTTTAATTGTTTTGCATATTTTTTTTGTTTAATCCAAAATGTACGATGCGAGTGGTTACACTGGTTCCCCTACTAATCTTACCGTGCAACTCTATGGACACTAGCGATGACCCCATCATGTTGTCCGCCAGACATTTATAGGTACCGTAATCCTCGTCAGGGGTCACACTTACGATGATATATCTGATACATTCAAAAGTAAACATTTGTTTTGCAAGAAATTGAACAGAACACCTATCGAGGTAAACATTAAGTATCTTATTACCATTCATACATACTAAGACAGTTTACCTATTTCTATTGGTCGACAGTCCGTCACGTGGGAGCCTCAAACCGCCGGTAAAACAACACAGTGTTCTGCGCAGGCGCAGTTCCACTTGGGGGGGGGGGGCTATAAGGAGAGTTTTAGCACTTCACGCGCGAGGCACATACCAGACATGGCCAGACAGGTGTTTTACAAAACAAGAAGTAACAATTTTTGAACAAAACGGCGAGGGACGTACACCACTGACTAGTCTGCTCGCATAATTAACACAGACTAGCCGCTAGCCGGTTTTACTAACGTACTAGTTTGAAACAAGTGATGGGCTTGGAACGATTGCATGATGTATCAATGCAACGCCATGCATGAATCAAGTCTAATGAGTTCATAATACACCCCTCCCCCGCCCCAAAAAGTTAATTAGGTCTACATCATGACTTTGTTAGTTTATTTTTTAATTACACCGTCATTTATCTAAATTCAAAACGGACGCCGTTTTCATGTTTGTGGAGGGGGTGTCCTTAAGGCCAAAAAAGTCTCCGGTTTCTGTTATGCGCGTCGGCAAAATGATTTTTTTTTTCCAATGAAAGATGATGTCTTAAAACCGCCAAACTCACTGGTTCGACTGGAATCCTGCTGCTGCACAATTTTAACGTGTTTTTGGATGGGGTTATGATCGAGAATAAGCTTTATGTGGCCTCTCTGGACTCCCATATATTTGCACTAAGTTTAGTCGGGCACCATTTGCAGTCATCAGCCGACATTTGAGGCAAAAACATCAGGAAAAAAAATCCGCGTCGCCGCACCCATTTTTGGGCAAGCTCCATACCAGAAACCGGAAACCTTTTTGGCCTAATGAACGCAGATGAACATCTGAGACATGATTCATGCATGGCGTTGCATATGATACATCATGTAATCATTCCTAGACCCATTTACTTGTCAACGATGATAATTTAGTGTCTTTCATTTGAAGGATTGTATTACCATTTGACACCCACGAGGCTTGGTGACATAGAACATGAACGGGCAAAGGCATCATATTGATTCAATAATATATGAATGCATGCTGAAGTAGATCTTACGAGTCAAGGCGGATTTATGTTCGTATCGCTGAGACAGAGAGCAAACCCTTGGGACATTTATTAAATAAGGGAATAAATGTGTGCTTGGCCAGTTTTAAGCGCTATGTTCAATACCAGTTGGAGTTTGGATGCTGATAATACCCGAACCGAAATAGGCACCGAATTTCATGAGACACTGGGAAAAGTGTCTTCATTAACCTTGATTTCCTCTCAATGGCTGCAAGCCAGATGGAATAATTTCACGGGGGTGTTTGTTAGTGCAACAATCCTTAAAAACTTAAAATACCCTAACAAGTGAACGAACAGTGTAACAATACAATGAAAGGCGAAAATGGTACTGATGAACAATTAGAATGAAATGAGACAAGTCTATTTTCGAAACCGATGGTTTTAGCTTTACTGATTAATGGGGTTTGAATGGAAAACTAGATATACATGAATACCGATCACACGGACAAACGGAACCCACAAGAAACAGACGGACGGACGCGCATGCGTGACTCACGAGGTGTACTGTTTTCCGTTCCTGTATGACCCTTGACCCGCTGTCTGTATGGTGACCTGGTTCCGTTGCCAGACTATTTCAGCTTTAGGCACGGCGCTGACCTCACATTCCATGGTCACGTACTTGGCGCGACCGGCCCGGATGCTCGGAGCTGGTGAGCTCACGATCGGTTTATCTGCGGGGGAAAACCGGTTTCACTAAATTAGTTTTCCCATTCAGAAAACAAAACACAAATGTATTCTCAATTTTCAATTTGCCATTTTGAAGTGTATTTTGGTACCCTTTTTTTATACTGCAAATGTCCATATTCATAATAATAATAAAAATAATAATAATGAGTAAAAAGTGTAAAATTCATCAGTAAAAGTGTGATGTCATTTAGGCAGAAATATCAGTGTTACAGCTGTTTCAGCACCAACAATTGTCATAATGTTTGATATTTTGTAATAAAGCTTCTGCTTTTGGATATTTGATGTTTCGATACGTGACAGTAAGTCAAGGGGCAATATTCTTTCTCGCAGTGTTTTCAATGAGCACATTTTCGAGTTCAAATTCGAACAGAAAACCCCAAAACTGAAAAGTGTGTTCCTAAAAATGGCATCACGGCAAGAGCGCTTTAGTTTCCTAAAAAAGTATGAAACATTTTAAAAGTTTAAGAAGTGCACTCTCAAAAAGGTATTCAAAAAGTGTTCATACCTTTAAAAGGAATGGACAGTTGCACAAAATATGTTCACAAGTACAATTCATTACATAATCACTTTAAATTCATCTTTATAGGGGTCAAAATCAGTCCTTGGCGAACCGTAATAATAATTATCATCTAGCCTAAAATTCGGTTCGTTAGTAAATACGTCATTTACGCGTGCCCATTATTGATTACTTGTGCCTATGCTGCAAACACTCGAGCTGCGTTAACTTCCGGTGCCAACCGTGCAGAAAGTGCTGGAAGTGACGTCACACTAACAAACCGGATAGCAATTAGGACCAACAGTCATGATCTCTCAAAAGTTCATTCATAAGGGGTTATATTTCCTTATCTGTTAATGTTAACATACTACCATATAGTTCACTACTTTGAAGACTTGAGTAGATGATGCATTGTATTAAGGTTACGCACAGGACCAACTACTGCTTTAACCTCAAAGGGCTGGGGGCGAAATCCGCCCCCACGACTTTTTCCGCGATGGCCTTTAAAAAAAATTTCGCGACCCGAGCTGTTATGACTTTTTAGCCTCAAGCCTTGCGCATCTTTTGACACCAGAAATATAAAAATCGGACAAGGGTTTGTTGCGCAGCAATTTTTTTCCGGCGCTACGCGCCGTGAAGACTGAATTTTCCCATATGCGTGGTGTACACAATCCAGAATTACCATTCGTACATATGAATAATTAATTAGCCATAATTCCAAACCCCTTTGACCTATAGTCATGAAATTTCTCGGATATGTTCATGAAGAGTTGCTCTATGCATGTACAGAGTTTCAAAAAAATGTGTCCCTCGATGGCCGAGATCTTATGGGAGGGGGGGGGGGCGGAATCCATCCCGCCCCCCTCCGCCCCCCGGCTGAGAGATGGTCAAAATAAGCCGGTACTTTTAGGGTTAACAATGGGAGACTTTTGAGACGTTGGTGGCAGCAAACACACCGGTCCTTTTTTCAGTTGTTTACGTCATGTTTAAGTTGAAACGCGCAAACAATAGGAAAAACGTTCGTGCCCCCCCCCCCCCGCCACTAACGTCTCAAAAGTTTCCCATCAACATTACGTGTGACTACTCTAGTATTTAAAAACCTAATTAGAAAGGAAGTATAGAATTGTTGCTTGTGTACTAAGTGGCCTTCAATGCTTTTTGCAATCGCCAGAGGGCGCCCACACGGAAAAGAACCGTTGTGCATTTTAACCACAGTCGGATGAGGCATACTTATGTCATGTGTATTCTCTGCGTCCAGCCATCGCGATTTGCAATTCACGCCCCCGGTGTGGAGGTGTAAACTCGTCCGGGTCTATAGGCGTTGCTGGCCGGCGGTCGTTACTTGTTTCGCTATCACATCACACGGCGAGGGAAGCGATGGGGAAAACATAAGTCATCATTTGTGTTTACTGGGTCAACCGTTTCGACGTGGCTAGACTAGCCGTTCATAATGATCTTTGTGTTTTTTGATCGATTTGATACGCTTAAATTGTCACAATTGGCACGGTGCAATTGACCACCGTACACTTGCACATTTATTACAATCGTTGCATCCGCTCCACTTTCTTCTACTTCCGGACCTAAACGCTAGGAACTGTACCTATCTACACTCGTATTGTTTATACCTGAGCGCTTCAAAGGTTGCATATATTCAACACCATGTTCGTCTGTTTATACCTAAACGCTTCGAAAGTTTCATATACGTGACACACTTAACACTTGCTTTGTGTTTATAGCCTACGTGAACGATAAGCACGTCGCATACTCTCAACCATAATACAAACACGTACACTGCATACTGAACACCGTCTCCGTCTGTTAACACCTAAACGCTACTAACGTCTTCGTGTCTATGCTGAAAAGTGTTTATAGTTTAAATTAAACGATAAAAACATCGTGTTCTCACTCCATTCTTCACTACCGCAAAGACCACAAGGGAAATCAAATACAACCACAAATGCCATTTACAGATATTAGAAATCCACTCGTCTTGTAACATTTCCATTTTTCCAAACGTTACGGTTCCTTCAAAGCAAATTTGAGTTGCGGCATATTTCTTTACGGCTCAATCATACAACTTGTATGCAATTAACCGGAATAACATATACATAAACGTAATAGTTAACATATGAGACATTAAGACATAAGATACTTGAAGTTCAGTATGTCAAAGGTCATGCTCAGGCTACATTAATAAAAATGAATAAAACTTGGTTCGTATTAAGTCAAAGACAAGTCTCTGTCCTTTCTTAATGCTACAAAGGAGCATAACAGTCGGTGGTTTTTTTTTAGGAATTGAATTTCTAATGCCAATGACTCACACTGAACCACCACCTCGACGGATCGCTCGATACTTCCTACCCCGTTTGAGGCGGTGCAGTTATATACCCCGGCGTCCCGTTGGCTGATATTCTTGAGCAACGCGGTGTTCCCCCACGACGTTACCCCGGTCAGGGGATCTACCCCGCTCGGGGCATTTATCCCGACTCGTTCCCACGTCACGGTGGGTTCGGGGGAGCCGCTGGCGTTACAGTACAAAGTGACGTCCGTGGTGCGGTTGAAATACCGCCGATCGGGGTCGGATTGGTCGTAAAATGGGGAAGCGGTGGGCTCCAACGATATGATGTTTGGTAAACCTGTCCACAAAAGAAGATAAAGATCAGTCAGTTAAATATGGCAAAGACTAGCCAATTTTGAAAAAGATATATATTTGAAACATTCTTTTATATCGAAAACTAATTAAGGAGAGTTTGATGAAAGGCCAATTCATTTAGCCCAAGTGTATTTTTTTACCACTCACAGCCGTGGTAGGCAATTCAAATGCTTGACACGTGTTCTCTTACGTTTGTCGCGCGCGGTTTAGTGCGGCATTGGAGATTAGCCCAATTTTTGACCAATTATCCGGTTCGTAAGTGTGACGTCGTGTCAACTTAAACCACGCCCACTGCACACGGAGTACTAATGGACCATAGGAACCGAAAGTAGTACAGAGTTGTTTAGCCACTGGGTGCTAGTAATCAGTGGTACTTTGCGCATGTACGACGCAGTGACTTACGAACTGGATACAGCCATGACGGCATGCTTGCACAAAGGTCTGACATGCGTACACGCGCGTATGACGCGCAGGGCTGGAACATTAAGATCAAAACGGCATGTATGTAATAAAAGGTAAATCATCATATGAACACAGCAAACACCCCGTGGCAAGACAAGATTAAGAACAAAGTGTAATAAAATAAAGTTTCTGAATATTTTGGAGTGTTGACAAATAGATGGCCTGAAATTAACCTTACTTGGTACCTCCAACTCCACGATCCGCTCCGTCTGAAATCTCCTAGCGCGGATCTCGCACTTGTACTTCCCCGCATCTGACTTCTTGACCCGCTGGATGCGAAGGTTGAAGGTCGAGTTGAACACGTCCAGCTTGATTCGCCGATCGTCTGCGTACAGAGTGCTCATAAAACTCAACCCTGTCAAAGGAGAGAGAGAGAAACGGATTGGAAGATTAGGGATAATTTTATAGAGCAGAAAAAATGATGGGATGGTCGATGCCTCCTCCGCTTAAAATCTACAAAACAAATACACACATGGCGGCCAAAATGTCGTACTAGTCATTCATAATACTTAAGACATAGTTTACCCATTCCTATTGGTCGAGAGCTGTAAAGTGGGTGGTTTTAAACGATTGATAAAACATGGCTGGCTGGTCTTAAACACTTTTCCAGTGTCACTTAAAATTTGACTCATATAGAGCCAGCCCCGTTTCATTGGATTAACGTTCACAATCCTCACGTAAGCATGGGTAATACTACCTGTGAGTCAGTATTCCATAGCCCTAAATTCACACTTCAACGGCACATCTGCGTTGTGCACCTCAGCTCATCACGCAGTACGCCTGACGCGCGCGTCGATCTCATTATAAGAAGTTGATTACTGTAGAGCCTTACCGTTGTATAGTCAGAGGGGTGTTTTGTTGATCGAACTCGTTGGGAATTTTTGACTTTTGTTGACTTTTGGACGAAAACGTTTTTATTTGTTTTGACCGAAGGGTAATTATCGGCATCCAGATTCCAACCGGTCTTAAACGCAGTGTTTAAAACCTCCGAGGCACACATTTTTCCCCTTATTAATAAGGCAAAGTGACACTGAACGAGAACGCCCGTTTAATCCTTTCTCATGTTTTGTCCAAAGTACTACAATCGGAAGGACACTTCCCGGGGCACATAATGCACGTTTAATGATCGACATTTATTAGCCGTCACTTGCCAATTCATTCGTCGCCGCATAATAACCGCACACGGCCTTGTTGCAGACACTCGTTTCAGTAGAGTGAGTCAGAATGCATTACGGATAGCTCACTCCTAACACTCCTCGACGGAGGGACATGAGTAGATTCCATCTGAAACTGTCTCCAAATGCTTGAAATGGATTGCAGTCTCCTGTCGTTTTGGTGAGATGTGTCCGCCATCTGCCCCATTCGTTTTGTTGTATAGCCTAGAATGCTGCAGCGGGCAGGCGTGAAATTTGACGGCTTTTCCTGGAATACAATCAGTCGGCTTGGCAAAGGTTCATCGTATATGCGGCATGTTGGCAACCCTTGAAGAAACTTAGCAGGCGGATATCAGTTATTCGATACAACTAAGGCACACTCAGGAAGACTAAAAACACATGCGTGTGTTATGACTAAACACAACAAACAATTAAAGGATCCAAACAATGAACAGGCGCGGATTTTGCTAGCAGGGGTGGATCAAAAAAAAATTTGCAGCGAGGCGCGCCTTTTTTTCTCCCGACACTTATCAACTTAGGCCCCATAAACTCAATATGTGTGTGTGTGTGTGTGGGGGGGGGGGGGGGGGGGGGGGGGGTTGGGGGGGGGGAGGGGGGGGGCTCGTACCATTTTTTCTACGGGGGACGCTGATAAAATCCTACAATCAAGCACACTATAATAGTTTACAAACCCTTCTCAAGACTATTTTGAAAGGGGCGGAGACTGTTCGCACGTGACGTCACCCTCTAACAGTTCCTACTGCCATTTTGTATGGGTTTTATTTTTGAGGGGCTAGACAAGAAAATTGGTAGGGCATAAGCCTCCTCCACCCCCCCCCCCCCCCTCGCAGATCGCGCTTACATCTTGGAGAGTAGAATACAGTTCACCTGATTTCAGCATAATATAAAAAAAAAATATTTTTTCCTGGAGTATCGTTATCTTATGTAAATTACTTTCGCCCCACTAATGACAGACAGATGTGGGAATCTCAGTATAAAGTTTCTTGTCAACGAGTGCTTGCTTAACTATGAGCAAGTTCGATCAAGGATAGTTTGGGGTGAATGTAGATTTGGCTCGAGACGTACCTTGCGCCTGCGCACATATATAGAATGTGCACGACCCTATAAGCGAACTATACGGTTGGACATCATCAGGAAACCTGACTGCCCCAGCATGGAACGCCAAAGCAGCCTGCCGTAGTTCATGCCATTCAAAACAGTCTCATTCCATTCAAACAATTCATCATTCCGTTTATTATTATTTTATTTGGCAAAATTATCATTCTATTTCGCAAATGTATCATTCCATTCGGCAAATTCGTCATTCCGTTCGGCAAGTTCATCTTTCCGTTCGGACAGTTCATCATCTCACTAAGCAAAACCACCATTTGGCAAACGCTGACCGTCAGCTGCATTTACTTGGCAAATCTGCAGAATGGAATGTGTATTCGCCAAATGCGAATGCGAATGTGTATTCGCCGTTTATTATTATTTTATTTGGCAAAATTATCATTCTATTTCGCAAATGTATCATTCCATTCCGCACATTCGTCATTCCGTTCGGCAAGTTAATCCTTCCGTTCGGACAGTTCATCATCTCATTAAGCAAAACAACCATTTGGCAAACGCTGACCGTCAGCTGCATTTACTTGGCAAATCTGCAGAATGGAATGTGTATTCGCCGAATGCAATTATGGAATGGTGACTCTATGCTCTGACGAAAAAGTAATATGAATTATTGAAGGCGGGACTGTTTAGGTGTTGCATATTACCCTGGCTCCCTGAGCCTGCTGAGCATTGAGCTAGATTGGGGTGGCTGTTGTTAACCAGCGGAACAAGTCAGGTGGGGTACTCCAACCAGTACTGCCTAGCATGCGTTCAACACAGATTGGTCGAACTATGGGCATTTGGAAACCTCGGCATCGTCCTGGGTTCGGTTTCAATCCGGCTTCTGAATAATTCAGAATCCTTCATCCCAACCAATAAAGTACATGTACCCGAACAACGGCCTCGTATTACAGTAATTGATCTTTTCATTAAGAAGAACCGAGCTGATGTTTCTTAACGGCAAGAGACTGACACGAAACCGTGGTTTCGAATTCGGGCGATTCACAATGAAGAGCGCCACCAATAGTTTGACACGGAGAGTTCATTTTTCCCAGTGCAGTGTGGGAGATGGTCGACAAATTCGCAGTGCGGGACATTTGAAACTGTTCGGTTTTTTTTTCCGGTCAGTAGTTTCGTAAGCGTACGATTCGAGTATGTGTTTGCCCTTTTCTTCTTTGTATCAATATGGTGATTTTTGGTAAGGCCGCAGAACGCTATGCCCCAATCTATAACAAATTAGCTCAAGTGTCTACTGACACTCATTCAAATGGGCCATATTTTGTCGACCGTAAACTTGAAAAGTTGACTCTCCATGGCAAACTCTTGGTGGCGCACTGCATTGTGAATCGCCCGAATTGTGCAGTTATTTTGATTTACTCCACACGTATACTCACTAGTATCACGACCCCGCACCCAGGACACGTGTTTATTTCCCAGGTTGATGATGTCACAGCGTAGTAGGGCTGTGCTTCCTTCCTCAGCAACCAATAACTCGCTTTCCTGGTTGGCGAAATATGTCTCATTGGGAGCTGGTCATTAAAACAAACAGTGAGAAATTAATTGGTCATACTTTAAACAACCAGTGTACTGTGTGTAATGACGCTATTTTTTTTAGATGTAAACAATTCAAATATCACTTCCATGTGATTGGAAAGCTTTACTTTCAAAACATCATCAACTGCTCAGATACAATGTGTGAATTATTTTCACATGTAAACTGATGGCAATAACATTGGATGCATATCTGTTACTAAATATGACGTAGTTACAGCGCCCTCATTCGCTCGAAAATGTAGACCACGAGTGTACAAAACTGGTTGTTATAGACACGTATTAGTGATGTCAACTTCCAACAATGGTTCTCTTCTGCACTGCATGTTTATCTCTTGAAATACGAATGTTTAAAAGTGTTGACCTAAAAGTGTTTTAATGTGGGCCAACTACTATGCAAAACAATGCTTAACTGTTTGGGTTGCCCAGGCGGGTTCCTGTCGGCATGACGTCACGCGGCACGTGGTCTACACTCGCCAGATTCGGTTCTACATGTCCTAGGTCAGATTCGACCATGTATAATGGTCAAAATTGACCTGACTCTTTTCATGGTCAAATTTACACTTTCCGGGGCAAATTGGCACTTCGCTGGGTCAGCTTCTGGGTCATTTCTGTACCTTTTCAAAAGTGGTTCAATCTAGAAGGGGATAAGATCAGATTTGACTTGGAATCCGGGTCAAATGTGACCCGGGAGAACTACAGAAGGAGTTATCAAATCTGGTTTGCCTATCTTTAGGAGCATCTCACTTCACGAAATGTATGTCCACAATCTGCCACGGTGTACTCTTTGATATACAAAGTCGCCAAAACGCACGGATTATATGTTAGAAGTTGAACATAAAGTTGTTGTAGACACCATCACAAGTCCATCACAGTTTCGGTCACTAGTAACAGTGGATGAACAGCAACACTGGAATGCCCTTTGTCACATCTCAAATGAGTAGCTTGTGACACGATTAGAAGACTTGTGATGGATATGTGAGGACTTCAGATGGACATGTGATAACTTGTGATGGACATGTAATAACTTGTTATGGACATGTGAGGATTTGTGATATGACACGATTTGATGACTTGTGATGGACATGTGAGGACTTGTGATAGACATGTGAGGATTTGTGATATGACACGATTTGATGACTTGTGATGGACATGTGAGGACTTGTGATAGACATGTGAGGATTTGTGATGTGACACGATTTGATGACTTGTGATGGACATGTGATGACTTGATATGGACATGTGATAACTTGTGATGGACATGTAATAACTTGTTATGGACATGTGAGGATTTGTGATGTGACACGATTTGTGACTTGTGATGGACATGTGAGGACTTGTGATAGACATGTGAGGATTTGTGATGTGACACGATTGGATGACCTGTGATGGACATGTGAGGACTTGATATGGACATGTAATAACTTGTAATGGACACGTGAGGACTAGTGATGTCACTGATGTAACAGGATTGGATGAACTGTTGTGCAGGACATGTGAGGACTTGTGTCGGACTCGACTTTAACACTGGTTCTTACCGCGTGTCGTGGTCCTCATTTGCCGCAGACACTTCCTCATATCACCGCCTGGGTTGGTGCTGTTGCTGTTCCCGAGCCCCAACGACTCCATGCATTTCTGAACTTTGTCTGTCAGTGTGAAAGTTGTCGAGCCAATCACGATGTTAGGAGGACCGGCTTCTGTTGAAAGAGTTAGGAGAGTAACAATGAAAAGCTTCTATTTTCAATACAGTTCTTAACGTTATAGAGACATTGAGGCATAATGGACACAGTAGCGGGGTGCTTTTTGAAGCAGAATAGTTTACCAATTCGAAATAGTGTCCACCACTTCGTCTTCTTCTTATTGTCTCCACACATAGGCTAAACATAGTTCTGCTGAAGCTGAACGCATTGCTTAGCACTATCATTACATAATTGCAAAGTATTCAGCTGTGCACGGTTGCTCCAGTTGAGGACTGCTAGGCAATTTTCCATAGTCTGTGGCTTAGTGCCAAATTCACATGTTACATCTCCGCTGATATCCCCACCTGCAAAGGGTTACCTTAGAACGTCCAGTACTAGTACTCAACCTGTTCATGTATTTCATTCAGTCAAACTCGTGTCAGCTCCAGCTCAAAAAGACTGATTAAAATGTCTTACTGTAAAACAAAATTCTTCAAAATTTACACTCGGCAGACTGAGAGAGGCGCCTTGACCTGATTCTTAGATTCATGCAGCTTTTAACAAATACCCTTGAACCACAGAAAACATAATACCGCAATATGGGTTATGTTTTTCTTGGGGCGGGGAAGGGGGTTAAGGGGTTAAATCTGCCGGTCAGGGTCTGCTTCTTCACCCCTCCGTCCCCGCCCCTCTCATACCCACCTAAACCCACTGAGAACCGTGAACCTGGCCAGAACACGATTACCCCAAGTACCCCAAGTGCCCCGTATTTGACACCAGTTACCTCACTGATCCGGATCCGGAACAACCTAGTGCCGAGTATAAGCATTGAGCACGGACAGTTTTAACAACCTTGCCCCGCCGATGGGAGCGGGTCCCACCTTTCTGAACCCCCGTCTTCTCCCCCTCCACAAACCTGTCCAAAAGACGCTGATGTATTCCCACCGCGCTCCCCGACACCGATCACCTCTTGCTACGTGGTGACGCGCCGTAGCTACCCGGCCGTGTCATTGGCCAGGGGCATGCTACAGCCCCGGTGCACCCATGCGGACCGTGATTTAAGGGGTGTGAAAATCTATTTGATTTATCTAGATCGCTCGATTTCACCTGCTTATATTTTTCTTGGCCACGGCGTGTTAAGGACACCCCAGAAGATTAAAGATGCATACAGGCCGTTATGCATTATTCACGAACTCGTTCACAGTCCGGGAAGAGCACTGTACACAGCGATGCAGTTTCACAGGTGATGTGGATGTTCTTAAAAAATTCTCATGAAAAATTTATCTTGGAGCTTTTGAGTGTAACATTAAAAATGAACGCATGGTAGTTACTTTGTATTATTTACACATGCCTATTCACAACGCATATAATATGGATCTTATTACGTATGTACAGTTTGTTAAATAATTATTTTTAGGTCCTGGTGCTCAGTGGATTTTAAAAAGAGCAAGTGTCTGACAGCTATTAACATTATCAATTCCTCATTATAGCAAATCATTCATTACTAGGTCAGCTCTCAGCATCCAAGTCTTTAGACTGCTTTCCAGTTGTAAATTACAGCAACTTAGTCAAGAGATGCAGTACCAACGAATACTAAAATCAAACTTACGTTCAAGGGCATAAAACATGTTCATTTATTTATTTATTTATTTATTGATTTATTGATTTATTATCGGGCAACAACATACAAATTTTAAAAACAAACAGGCCCGAGGATTTCCCAAAAGCGAAACAAAGCACTATTTAAAGGGATCTCCAGACAACAGATAAAATACAAACAGTAAACAAATATACTCACATATACATAAATAGACCAAACAAAACATTGACATAGGACAATTTTAAAACAGCATCCAGTCATTAGACGCATAAAAAAAAATAATGAAAAACAAATATATGTATAAAAATTCATGTATTACTGCTTGGAATGTATATATATAAAAGTTCTAAATTTCACGAGAGGAGGGCGCCCCACAATTAAAAAAAAATAGATACATGTATTTAAAAATACAGGATAAAATTTCATGGATAAAAAACACACAAAAAAACAGAGCCCCAAAGACCAAAATCATGCGGCCACCCTGTCTTCATCCAACCCAATTCAACACAAGCAAAAATGAGGCAGGAAGGAAAAACAGACCGGTTCTCCTTTGCACAAAAAACATGAACTCAGCACCGTCACCAGACACAGAGAACACGACTGAAATGGTGGCAGCATGACAAAGGTCAATATTACAGTCGTGGACAAACCTTATTACTTACATGTATTAAAAACAAAAATTTAAAATTGGTCAAATTGCTTGGAGGGCATATTTTGTCACTGTTAAAATTTTCCCAGACTGTTTCCCGGCCCCCTAAAAACACGGGGACTGGTGGCTGGCTCCCATTTAAAGCCACTCATTGGATCACCTCTGTGCACGCATCATGATTGTTAACTTTTGAATCACTGCTTAGCTTTTTTGCATGGACTGTGATTGAACACGATTATCAAAAACAAAAACTCACTCTAGTCTTACCACAGAAACTACGCAAATTGGCTAGTGTCTCTGAGGGCAACTTTAAAGTATTTCAACCGCATAGGTTTTATATACTGAGCACTAATTTCTCTCTCTTTATTGCTATTTGCCAGCGACACTTTCGAATTCAGCAAAACTCAAAACTCATCACCTCTGAAACTGCACATTTGTGGCGTGGCCATTTGCCATTTTAAAGATATAGTCCATCATTTGTAATTTGTGCATTTTGTTCGTTTGAAGCAACAAAAGTGTTGAACAACTAACCTGATGAAGTTTCAGCTCAGCTTCAGCTGTATATTCCGAGAAAAACAGCATTATAGGATCTCAATTTCAAATCAAAATTTGCTAAATCAGGTTTTGAATTGGGCCTGAATTCAGCGTCCGAGACGCGTTCTCACTGAGCCGATCGCAGCTATACGCGATGTCGCGCACTGATCCGACGAATTATAGCAACCGCGTGCGCGTGTGCGTCGTGACAATGCTTGCGTGCGCTTCGCCAAATAACAAAACGAACTACTAATTTAAATTTTCCTACGGTGCATCTTAAGACGCACCGTTGGAAAGGCCTTCTTTCGTTGATAACTTCAAAATAACAGCTTGCCAGAAAGAACAATTTCACAGGGAGTTTAGTCCTCTTCCTATCTTTCAACCAAGTATGTTTTTCAACAATAGCTGCAAATGATGGACTATAGCTTTAACATAGGCTGGTTGCGCGCAACCACTACCGTTGTGATTTTGAATTCACGAGGCGAGATTCAGACCTTTACACGTCATGCATATAATTTGCATTCATCAGGAGGAATGAATCACTGCTAGCTATCTTTCCCCATATTTGAAGTCCAATGGACAATGGTGACAGGGAACCAGACTAACAATGTCCAAACTATTTCACAACAATTGAGGGTGCTATAACTGTGAGGTCACTTCAGACACGTCTTTGGACAGCAGACCAGTAAATCGGTCCCTTAAAGCTCAGTGATAATTACGCGCACTCCAAAAAACGTATATTTACTAATCTCCAAGGTATTTGAAAAATCCATCATTTTAAAGGTTCTCTCATCATCTTTTCTTTTCTTTTCAATTTTGTGGAGCTAATTCCATGGCTTTGTGGAGAAAATTTCATTCAAAGATAACTGATCACCACTTAAGGTAGTCATGTGGCCAATCGCCATTTCGAAAAAAAAGCGATGCTTGCGCTTGTTGCAAAATAGAGGCCCAAATTTCAAACGGATTTCACAGAAATACGAGCTCGAAGTCATAGGCACGGTTTCCACTTCTATATTTTGCAAACCTTCAAGTTCATTGCCAACAAAATGCTCTCAATAGTAAAAAATAACAGTAAGGCATACAATTAAATCTTGATTTGGCCACCGTAGGTAATTTTGAGCCTATTCAAGCTGGTCTGCATCCTTTGGGGTGTACCGTGAACGAATAAATGTTCCTCATTTTGTTGGATGCAAATTAGTTTCATCAATAGGGTGACACCAAGGGCGGATTCAGGGGGGGGGGCCAAACCCCCCTCCCCCAAAATAAACGTAACCAATTTTTTTTTTTTAATGTGACATCGCAATAAAGGCAGGCAATGAGTACACCACCATCTTTTCCTCAAAAAACATTGGTTAAAGTGGTCAGAAATTGCCTCAGATCGCCCCACAGAGCATCTAGAATCCCAAAAAAAATGGGGGGGGGGGACTAAAAAATTTTTGGCCCCCCAAAAAAATTGTGTTCTGGATCCACCCTTGGCTGACACGATGTACTGTATTCACTGGAGAAACACTAATGAAAAGTGGATGACCCCCGCTCACAAAAGGGCCTACTGAAATACTGAGGTTTCTGTCTTAGGTGGCACATTCACGAGAAAACAAGACACTGCTGCACCCTTTCAAATGGCAAAACGAAGAATGAAAGTCAAAAAGTACATTCAAGGATACTTTGTGAATAAACATCAACTAGGCGTAAACTCTATAGAGGAGCCGTACAACAAATGAAGTCTATTCAGATTGACCGCCACTTGTAATGTCTAGGGACAAGATCGATAACGAACACAATTTTTAGCAGACCAAAATATTGCTAGCAACCAAGCTGTGGGAGGGGTCCAAAGGTTCTTAACCGTCAACTACATGTTGCATTTGCCCACACGTTGCAGAAGGTTTTTTTTCGAACAAATAAATTCAACAAATCTAACAACTTGCTTGAGTCGAAATAGATACAGATATTAGCTACAGTTATTTAAACATTACTAAAACAGGGGGAGTCAAAAAAGCGGAACCCAAAACCCCAAAATGATATTCCATATTTTAAAAAAAATGTCAAATGTAGAACAACAAATAATATTGACTGGAAAGCCAGTCATTATTATTATTTTTTTTGTGCTGCATATTTTTTTTAAATATGAAAAATAATCTTTTGGGTTTGGATTGCGCCTTTTTTTGACTCACCCTGTACCTCGTCACATTATATAAAGAGCTTATTTGCAAAGGACTAATGCGCCATATGACAAATTCAGAGAAATTAGAACAAAAACACTGTCCCGTATAAATGTATGTACTCTTTTGCGCGGTACTTCCACTTTTCAATTGGCTTTTATATTCGGGATGTTATCATTTTTGATAACTAAAATACCAATATTTTACCTGATAGCTTTAGTCAAACACTAAACATTGCCGGTTCAAACTCATTTTTGATAAAAATGGATATGACCCCTTTTGCAACACAGCTCTTCATAATGTCAGAATTATTTGCCTCGTAAACAGAGTGAAAACAGTAGACATAAATTCCCAATGAAACACGTACATAAATATAGTTGCCTCAAACATCTTTCCTTTCAACACGGTAAAATATCGCTTACACAACGGCCCACTGGACCAATCGACAACAGATGGACTCCATACCGCTCAAAAGAGATTAAAACGTGTGACATTCAGTATTACGACACTCACCAATGGCTAGGCATGTAAGCATAGCCACAGCCGCAGCTGCAAGCACCGACCGGCCGTCCATGCAGAAACAGAGAAATGTCTACGGTGCTGCAGGAGGCGAAGAGCTGTTACGAGACTGGTTAACTCGACAATGTGCGCTGACATCAAAGTAGCAGGTGAAAGGTAAATTCAGACGGCGTTTCACAGCGCGGTCGACCTGGCAGAGATAATGATAGGCCTGACCAGACAGGTTATAGCTACTGATCACAGTGCTAACGTAATGCAAACCGGGGGCGAGTTCCTACCGCGGCTTCCTAACTCGTGATAATCACCGGAGGAAGACGGTGTTCCGTCTTAGATGTCCGTGTTTAGCGAGTCATGGGAGCGGGCCCCTTTCGGCTGATGTGACGGTTGATGTCGAGGGTGTTAACCGGCCTTGTAACGCACTCCATCATGTCAACCGATTCAAGCCGAACTGCCCCCGGGGCCGGTATTTAATTCATAAGACATTGCTGCAGACAATCTATCACAACACGTACTGACAAGAGAAGTACGGAATCTCTATATTTTTCCCCCGCACTTTGAAGGCATGGCTAGATGAAAACACGCAGGGAAATATGGAGGAATATCATACGCTGCATGTGCCTCGTCTTTCGGTCCTGAGTACGGAAGACAAGATTAGTACACATCAACTCTAACAACATCACAACTTTGAAGATCCATCTAATTGAATGGAATCAAAACCACACAAGGTCTAGTACTGCGAACTGAGAACATGTGTTTTAAGACGAGTGGATATCTTATACTTAATATCACCCAGTGCCCTGGGCACTAGTAAAGGCCAATTATAGAGCGCCCTCAATGAACTTTTGGAGTGCAAAGACATCCAGGCAAATAAGAACAAGTCAGTCTAAAATTCTAACTGCACATTGAACACATCACTAATTTCATATTGTCACATCGAGCTTAACACAGCTGGTAAATGTTTGTATTTTTTAGGGGGGGGGGCAATATATGTGATGCGATCAAGCTACATGAGTCGTGTGTCAACCCTGGTAATTTTTTTGTTTTACAGATTTGAAAAGAGCACGATCTTAGCAATATCAGGCGCGGTTCTAGAACCAATATTTTGGGGGGCTAGCACGGTGGATCCAGAATTTTTTTTCAGGGAGGCGTGCTGAAATGTTGACCGGTTATTTTTTTTCCAGACACTTAGGCCTCCGAAAATCAATAGGTGGGGGGTGGGGGGGGGGGGGGGGGCTCATGCCATATTTTTCATGGGGAGCGCCAATAAAATCCTAAAATCATTCACACTATAGCAAGGGCGAATCCAGAACAGAATTTGTTTTTGGGGGGCCAAAAAAAAATTTGGTCCCCAAAAAAGTGGGTCCAAAACATTACGGCGTGGGGTTCGGGGCACGCTTAAGGGCCCCGAACAATTTTGGGATTCTAGATGATCTGTGGTGCGATCTGAGGCAATTTCTGACCACTTTAACCAATTGTTTTTGAGGAAAAGATGGTGGTGTACTCATTGCCTGCCTTTATTGCGATGTCACATAAAACAAAAAAAATGGTTTCGTTTTGGGGGCCATGGTCCCCTTTGCCCCCCCCCCCCTCCTAGATCCGCCCTTGCACTATATTAACTAATGCACCCTTGTCACGGCTATTTCTTCTTTAGGGGGAGACCGTTCGCATGAACATCACAATCCTCCTTTTTGTTAATGCAATTTTTTTTGTTTACGAAATTTATTTTGGGGGGGGGCTAGACAATTTTTTGGGGGGGGTTACAGCCCCCCCCCCAGCCCCCCCCCCCCCCCCCCCGTAGAGCCGCGCCTGCTTAGCATTACTGCTGTGAAAACCGTATGCTGGTACCATCTTTACTTCAAACATTATGAAAGTCGGAACACCAAGAAATGCGATGAAGTGACAGTGATGAAGTGGCCCCATTTTGGCCTGAATCTCCAAATGAAAATTCCCGACAAACGACTGATTTAGCCTGATTGCTTCACATATCATTCACAAAATGTATTAACAATTCCAAAATGCTTGAATCTGTATAAGACACTGTACAACACGGTTGTCCTAACTTATAAGCAATTAATAAAATTAACCACTCATGCTATATTCTCGCCGTTGGTTCCCTGTATTTGCAACTAGCTGGTACCCCAAACCTTCCTTTTTTCTGGCCTCTATAAAGGCATAATGTTATTCATAGACAACTGGTATTCATACAACCGTCGCTGTGTTTCTAAATTTTACATCGTCACCGTTTGCATAATTAACCATGCACGCGCAGTGTTACAACGTGCGAGCGAATACAACTTTCATTATACATTCTTTTTAGAGCTGTCAGAACGCGTGTTCGTGGTTTCGCGCCAACACTTTTCGCGCTTTTTCTTGTCCAGACCCCGGCCATCAATTACGTCAACCCGACGGGAAGACGACGTCATCAATCACGTGATAGTCATCGTGATGATCTCAGACGGTTTGGAAGGTGAGCGACCGCAGATTGCGACACCTTTGAGATAATGAGGCCCGTTGGTAAGGAGGTCATGCCATTATCAATCACAGATGCAAATGATTATGGAATGTTTTGTGTAATGGCATGCCTGATACAAGCTACGCTTTTAAGGTTTTGCCACCTCTAGTGGCCTTTATATTTTTTTCAATACCTGTACTTACATTATGTGTTCATTTCTGTCATGAAGAGGAAATAAATGTGATTTGAATTGAATTGAATAACATATTATCATAGGATATAGGCAATTATAGGATTAACCTCTTCATTAACCAGGGGCGGATCCAGGATTTTTTTGCAGGGGGGGGGGGGTGTTTCAACAGCACAAAAGTCTGAAATGTAGATTTGTTTCTCTGGACACTTTGCCTCCGGGTGGGATAGGGCACTTGTACCGTACTTCAAATTGGGACTCTGTTCAAATCCGACTATTATTAACACTATATTTTACAACAGTGTACAAATGCCCGTTAACTTAGCTGACTCTTTCCGTATTTGGTGCGCTGACGGATGTTATTACCAGAATAATTTTTCAGGTGTCACAGCGCAGGGGGGGGGGGGGGGGGGGAGGAGGAAATTAGCATTATTTTTAATGAATTTCTACGACAATAAAGAAAAGTGTTTAACAGGCGCAGATCCGTGGGGAGAGGGGGGGGGTCATTGTTTAATATGGACAGAAAAGAACAAGTGCTACTAAACGATAGGGTCAACATTAAACAACTGTAATATGTTTTATTTCAACGCTGAAATCGTTTTACACAATGAAGGTATTTAATCGTTAACTCCTCAGTCAATGTTATTGTGACTATCGTTCTTCATGTATTCTCAAGTAAGCAAGCAGTGCCAAGTAAATCATAAACATGTAAGAAGCAAAATAATTAATTTATTGGCCAAAATGACGTTTAGTGAGCAGAGAATTGTTGGCGAATTTAATTATGCATAAACAAAACCTCACGTGATGCTGACAGTTAGCCGTCTATAAACCATTTCCACGAGGAAGCCATTTCGATCGTGTTCCATGAATCTTTTTTTTATTGATTTGATGGTGTCAAGCTTTTTTTTTTAGTGATGTGGTTTAAAACATTAATAGGGTGTTTATCACACACGTTTTAATTATTCATTAGAGCAGACTGGTGTTAATTTGTGATTTACTTTTATTTCGTTGCTTTCATTTCTACTCACAAGTTCAAAAAATAACGAGTTCGCGTCACTTTCGATTTAATATGGCCGAGTTGGCACATGCGTGACTCAGCGTAAACGATACATGTAAGGCGCTTTCAAAATAGAACAAGTAATACACTATACTACGCTGGCAAAACAAATAAATGGAGAAAATCAGACAACTGTTATATTGTCAAGAACTATTATGTTTTACCAGTTTCTGGCATGGCACAATTATTATATATGCAGGCCTATATTCTTGTCTACAGTTCGTAACACTATTATATCGAGTTTTCCAACATCCATGGATTTACAATTGAAACAAAATGCCAAACTCTGAAAACATATTATCATGAACTACATGTTACTTTTGTACCATAGGCATCCTGGTCCTAACAAAAACATCTTGAGTTTTGAAGGCCTCACTTTTTTTTTGGGGGGGGGGAGGACTCAAAATCAATTATTTTGTTTATGTTCTTCTAATTTTGTAATATGAGATGTCAGAGTTCGGAGAATGTCCGTTTACTTTGGCAATAAACACTGAAACGTTTGTTGAGCAGCAACAAGAAACAAGGCGAAGCCATGACGAAGTGCAGTTATATGCAAAGCAAGATCATGAAATAAAGTTATCAAGACATATGTCAAAAGGTCCATTTCAATTAGCATCATCTTGAAATTAAAGTAAGCATTAGAAATCATATTAGTCTTTCCTACTTAATGATTATTGATTTTAATACATGTAATAAAAAGGGTCCATACAGGAAAGCTTCAAAGGCCATGAAATTTCTTCCAAATCATGAAAAAAAATCTGTGAGTTTTTTAAAGGTCGTTAAATTGGAGCATGCAATTATCACTTGAAATCTTTTATTGGCTATCGTCAATATAGTAAACATTTTTTTAATGTTTTTGTGAATTATTTAAACTTTGTTCTATGCTCTGCAATTTTCCACTCTGATTATGCATAAGGGATCTATGTTTAGCGATATAACAGACTTAAAAAAAACCACAAGATTTCTATCTCCAAACTCAAGGTCCAAGACGTTTGAGATCGATAATGGACTATCGCTGCATGCACGAATGATTATCATATTAGTGCGCCCTCCTGTGACGATTTTGACGATTCTATTTTCAAATATGTCGATTGCAGGCGGACCCCGGCGAGAGGTGATCCACTATCGATTACATCGTCTGAAACCATGGTAACTGAAATGGTTGTCGTATTTTTAGACCATGGTCGCGTACGCGCTGAACTGAAAATGACCAATGAACGTTCCGGTTTTCGGGTCCATAGGTCCACCCCAGCAGACGATGTCGGCGTACATCTGTTCCCAAAGACCCCCTTTAGTCACCACTGTGTTGCTTGGTAGTTCTCTCCCGTTGCCAATAACAATGTTTTCACGATGACTCAGCTATGAATATAAAAAAAAATAGGCGAAGTAATAACCCGTATTCTACAAAAGGGTACTTTGTCACAAGATTTTCTGCTATGCTTGTTTCATTATTATACTTCTTTTTGTAGAAATTACACAGATAAAAACATGCCTCTGTTGCTATTGTCAGTATACACTTAAGGAATGTTTGTGACTGCCATTGTTAAAATACATGCACAAGGTGACATTCCATCTGTCACAATTGAAGGCCTTCGGGCCACAGTTTTTAGGTAAATTCTTTTAATTCCGGGTATATGCCCCTGGCTTTCGTCATGTTCGTTTTTGTTTTCTTGGTTTTTGGTTTTCTCTATATGTGAATGTTTGTTGTTTGTGTTTTTAATGCCGAATAAATAATAATAATAATAATAATAAATTAAACAACCTTGTCCCCAGTGCTAACGATATTTCCATCCTCGTTTGAAAAAGTAAGAGCATGTAGTTGTGGCGCGTACTGCTCAGCACCCTGGAGACGAGGTTGGAAATTATTAAGCTAGTGCGTGGAAACCTCCAGGTGGCGCGCTGTATCATCATGTCATATATCTGAAAGAAGTAATTGCAAGCTTACATCACACGGTAATTTGTTGCAGAGATACTGAGCCCATGCACTTTCGCCGTCCGTCCCGAACACGGTGCCGGTGATAGTGTATTGTGAACAGGTGTCCGGTTTCTTGCAGAAGTTGAAGCTGAGATGAGCCTCCTGGAGCCGCGGTAAGGCGTGAGAGGCCGTCAGTGTGATGAACTCAGTCAGGATGATGTTGTTATCAGTGTCATGCATGGGTTTCTGACCGGGGAGTCGACGGGGAAGAGGCTCGACAGCCGACTGCTTCACTGAGAGTTTTCGTGAACCTCCCTGCCGTAAAAGAACACCACAACATTGTCATGATCTCCTAATATTGCAATTACATAAATAAAACGAACAACAACGGAAACAATGGGTTTTTTTTTTATTTGTCAGCAGTGCGTTGTTGCATGTGCCGTTTTGAGCCGTCCGTTAGTACGATGAGGTATGGTGAACACCACTGGATCATGGAGGGAGCTTTTTTGGTTTTGAAATCTCCTTTGTATAATCCGAACTTACCCACTAAAAATAGCGTCGTCCTACTTTGTCCGGCAGCAATCATTTTTCCTCACCGAGCAAAGGTTAGTTACCGCGGTTCAATCAAAGACTGGACAAACTGTTTACTCTCCGACTCACGACGACTGCTTTCCTCCAAACTGCTGGTTCTCTTCGCGCCTGGTTTATTTATACGCTTTAAAGGCTGTCACGAGACATATCCCACCCCAAACTTTGGTCGATTGAAGTGTTTTGTTTTCAAGACGGATCGTTGTCCCCACCTATTTTGTAAATACGAGATAACTTAAGTGGGTCTGTCATCATAAACTAAAACTAGACAATGAAGCTAAACCATGAAGTTCATTCATTTCGCAATCCAAGCCTGGGGATTTACCGTACATGCCACATTTAGGCAATTACAAATCATCACGAGTTTCCACCTCGCCCCTCCCTCCCCCCCTCCCCCGTTGGTCCTGACGCCGCTCAATATTAACTGCGGGAGAGAATTAATTGGTAACCAGATTCTTCACAATGAGTTCAAGACTTAGTTTCACCCTTCTTGACATCAAAAAGAGCACGAAGCTGTTATAACTCAGTTTGATATCGTGATATAAATGCCCAAATATGTAGGCGAAAACGACGATGGAACCCTCGGATTTGCGAGATTTGTCCTATTATGGAAATAAGGAACATCTTGAAAAATAGAGGTTTTGGCTTAGCCCCGCCCTATTGTGTCTCTCTAGTGAACCCGCCTATAACCTGCACCCTATGATGAATGCTCTCTTCATTTTCATAGAAGGGATTGCATTATTATGGATTACATGCACCCCTATGCTGTGTCACGCTGCTTCTTCACTTGTTTACTCCGTCCCTTGAAGTGTTTGTTGACATACGATTTTATAATTAGCTGAATGGGTTGAGTGGTATCAGTGCGCATGGCTGTTGTACTATTTTAAAGTGGATTCCAGGAAACCTCTTGTGACTTTGCAAATAGGTTCGAAGTTTACTGTAGCCAAAGGGTAGTGGGTTTCTTCGCTATTCATCACAGACTCTTGCCTACTACCTACTGTGCGTTGCGCTGTACCATCTTTGCCTACTACAGTTGGGACACTGACTTTATTATACCCAGATGTAGGCCGAGTAACGTGGGTCATTTTTTTTCCAACTTTTTTTTCTTCAAATGTTTGCTAATGCTGCCGGTGACGATTCGTTTCCCTTAAAACCTTTACAAATATCCATCAGAGTTGAGCTTGAGGTGACCTCAGTAAGGCCAGATGGCTTGAGAATTCTGCACCCACTTACGATCTCGTCGACACGAAACGATTCTTTGGGAATTGTGGATATTCAAGAGAAAAATCAGAGAAAAAGGTACCGTCAAACCATACGGCGACATCGACATCGTGCATAATTATGCTGCCAGGCCGGTCATTTCTTTACACATTACAGGTTCCAGATACAAGACCGTCCCTCCCTCAGTCTGGCTTCCAGACGCACAATTACAAAATTTGTAAATACGAGATAGCTTAAGTTGGTCTGTCATCATAAACTAAAACTAGACAATGAAGCTAAACCATAAAGTTCATTCATTTCGCAATCCAAGCCTGTGGATTTACCGTATATGCCACATTTAGGCAATTACAAATCATCACGAGTTTCCACTTAATTTGTAAAGAAAATCGCACTGTACACCAATGACAAGTTAGTTATTTTAAAAAAGTTAGGCGCATACTGAAGTTTGGGAGATCATAAAAAAGCGGGCTGGGGCGGACATAAGTTGATGGTTGGAGCCAGGGGGAGCAAAATCGGTATTTTTTTTCAATTTGGGGGACATTGGTGTACTCGCCTTCCCCCCCCCCCCTCCCCCGTTGGTCCTGACGCCGCTCAATATGAACTGCGGGAGAGAATTAATTGGTAACCAGATTCTTCACAATGAGTTCAAGACTTAGTTTCACCCTTCTTGACATCAAAAAGAGCACGAAGCTGTTATAACTCAGTTTGATATCGTGATATAAATGCCCAAATATGTAGGCGAAAACGACGATGGAACCCTCGGATTTGCAAGATTTGTCCTATTATGGAAATAAGGAACATCTTGAAAAATAGAGGTTTTGGCTTAGCCCCGCCCTATTGTGTCTCTCTAGTGAACCCGCCTATAACCTGCACCCTATGATGAATGCTCTCTTCATTTTCATAGAACGGATTGCATTATTATGGATAACCTGCACCCCTATGCTGTGTCACACTGCCTCTTCACTTGTTTACAGGTGGTGTAGAGCTCGCAGTACATCCATTATGCTTTAGTTCGTTGGGGTTGTACTCTGCCATGCATACCAGTTTTGTACACACACACAGTTATGCACGTGATTTGCAACAGAGCCTGAAAGTTGAACTTTACTGGCACGCTTCCGGAACCCTCGAATAAAAATATATAGCCTGTAAAAGTCGAAGTGTTTAACATTGTATTGATTTCTTGAAAAAATCCGTCGGTAAAGGCCTCTATAAATGTTTTACTAGCACCTAAGTTAATTGAAAGTGACACATCGCATGACGTTAGCTCGGAAGCGTATTTAGGACATGACCCCAAAAATGTCCCTGCCCCCTGTAAAACTAATAAATCGAGAACTTGTTGGGAAACACAATAATTTTTTAGGGAAAACATGTTTTGCCCCCCTCAAGAAAAAAATCCTGGCGACGCCCATGGCCTGGGCGGAATAGTAATCCGCCCGGGCGAAATAGTAATCCGCCCGGGCGGAATAGTAATCCGCCCCAGTGGCGGAATAGTTACCCGCACGGGCGAAATAGTGCTTCGCAAAGGCGGAAAAGTAATCCGCCCCGGCAAAATAATAATCCGTCCGGGCAAAATAGTAGGCCAGAATTTTTTCTTCGGTCATGTCCTTAATACGCTTCTGTACGTTAAAGACAAATATCGTGCCCGATTAATGACCTTAGTAGTTGTCACACAGTCACTTTTGGTGACTCCATCGGACAAATAGAATTTAGGAAATATGCCATACACTCCTATGAAATGAATGAAAACCAACTAGACACTTCTCAATATTCTATATACAATATACAAGCAAATTTATTTACACAAAATCCCCAAGTTTCACAAAATTATAAATTCACAAGTCCAAAACCATTTCTATGACTTGACTTATTCAAATCAGGTACAGATTTCCAATAAATTCTCAATCTGCAAACTTCTTCAAATTTGGTATTTCTCAACGCTTCAATGAATTAATACTCTCAAAAACAAATCACTTCCAAATTCAACTACGAGAATTTTAAATATCAATCAATTCGCACTAATTCTCAATCTTCAAACTTCAGGTCTCAAACCATTAATCAATAACCAATCTCCAAGAACAAAATTGTCTCGAAATGTGATCAATAACCTTAAATTTCAAATTTCACTCGAGTTTCAAGATCTATACTTCTCACACTTACGAAACTCACTTAAACTTCCAGAAAATGTTCTGTCTTCAAAATCACTTCCAAAATACAGTCTCCAGACTTCTACTGACTTCAAGAGTTTCCAAATTCACCTTCAATAATAATCTCAAAATCCAATAACCTTCAACTCCAATATCTATGTGAATTAAATTTCTGTTTTCAACTTCCAGATTTCACATCAAATTTCAAGCCAAAATTTGGAATCGGTTTTCAATTCAGAAAAACCTTTTTCACATCAAAATTTTAATTTAACCTTTTTACAATCCACTGAAATCTTCAATGCCAACCGGCCTTAATCAATATTAATTTTAACCTCAATCCGCTATCGTCAACCTCGAAACTAACTCTTCTGAAAACCTTCAACTTCAGTTATATATGCCATAAACCTTCTCCTGTTTTTTTTTTTTTTTTTTTTTTTAAGTTTTACTTTTCTACAAGTATTTTCAATATCTCCGGACCTCTAGATCAGGAAATCTTAATATTTACAAAATTGTTCCCGACACATGATATGTAATCAGTCCTAAACGTTCCGGGGACGTCACAGTTTATAAGGGTAGGTGATGAAGTTGGCGATGCTAAGCTTGGTGATCCCAGTCTATATGCGCAGTGCCACACCCCGATTCCCGTCCAACAGATCAGATATAGGTGGTACGTCACTTCTAACCGGTGCGGTAGGGGAAGTACAGGTAGCTCTCGGCACAACAGAGATGGTGTTAAAGTAGCTCAACTTCATACCCCGGAATTACGTGTCATCTAAAGAATTGATATTATACCAAAATCCGATTCACTAAATTGAAACCTTATATTTTTAGTCCTAAAGAAAAACAGAATTATTTTATCTTCATGTTTTCGCAAAGTACCTTAATTTTACACTGTCTTGATGAACGATTTTGAGATTTAATACAACCACATAAAAGATAAATCAACTTGAAAATGGTCATGAATAATAAAACCAAAATTTATGTAAACTTACGGTTAGGAGTTTCTTCACTCGAATAAATCAGAGAATCTGCTTGGCACACAAGGCTGTTCAAATATTCAGCACTTTTTAGGCAATGACACACTGGATATGTTTGGCAAAGCAAAATTCAAGAGTCCTGCAAAATACTGACTCTTCGGCTATCGGTCTCTGGTCTCAACTGACTAGGCCGCACCCCAAGAAAAACTGACAAAAATTCCAAGCTCCACTAACCATGGCACTCAACAAAAGGCACATTCCAGCAACACTCATACAATCAACCATACACCACATATCTGTCCTTATAAGGTACATTCACTCAACTGAGAAAAAGAAAAGTATGTGAGAACAAGACGTGATTAAATATTCATTAGGCCTAAA